AAGGTGTCAAACTTTTCCCGCGTGGTGGCGACGTCACGCCAGCCACGCGCACATCGCGTGCGCCGCCTTGATAAGGCGCATCAGAGGCGGCGCACGGGGAGTCGCTGCCTGGACTCAGGCGCCGCTGGTAACCATGTTAATCGTCTCGTTCATGTCCCATTAAATGTAGTTTCTTGTTGTTGGAACCGTTGGCTCCGTGTTATTCCTCCGGGTCGGGTATGCAGCAAGGCAAACCGACCACAACCTTTGCGTTTAATTGCATTATAATCATAACCTTAAAATGCAAGCCTTTCACCCTTGTTGGTATTAGACTGGTGGCAGCTGATAAAACCCGTTTCATCTATTGACGTGTCTAACTCCTGGTTAGCTCAGTTGGTAGAGCGCTCCACTTGAAATGGAGAGGTCCCGGGTTCGATACCCGGACCAGGCGGATTTTTTCGGTCGCGCACCAGTCACTTAGCCGTGTTTGGAGATTTGTGTTTGTCCTTTGTCCCTCTTGTTCCCCTTCTCCGGGGATTATTTTCGTCTACATAGGTCCTCGGACAGTATTCGACGCGTTCTGTCGTTCTTCGTGCACCCTATTCGCGACTCCAGCGAATAATAGGGGGCGCGCTGGTCAGGCAAAATGGCGGACGAATGGAGGTCCTTTTCGTCGTTCAGCACGCGGACCACCATACATTTCTTGCACTGCAGCGTAAAATCGGTGTTATATATAAAAGCAAAAGCAATTTTTCGACAGTAAAAGCCTTCTTCTGTCAGTGCTTATGCTTAGGAATGACACGGCGGAAGCATATAAAAAGTTACTGGAAACGATGTTTGTTTCTATGCTGCCTAACAGAACCAAGCAGCGATAGCGGGTGACAGAGTCGAACGACCTCCTCTCCTGAGCTTCTCGGCGTCGCCGCTACGCAGCGTCGATTTCGCTGGAGCCGTCGTATGACCGGGGGACTGTCGCCACTGAAGCCCGCGGCTCTGATTACTACAACGAAATTTCGGCGCTCAGTTTTTGGTCTATATATGTTCAAAAAAACAGCATCACATTGAACCTACCAATATCTTGTTAAAAAAAGTCACGAAAAGGAATTTTAGAACGAATTAAACGATTAGCAAAGAGCACCTGGTGGATGTCGCTAACGCCTCGCTTGTAATGCCCGTCTAGGAACCTTGACAGCTAGTGACGGAGGCAGTGTTGCCAGATTGGGCTATATATAGCCAAATTGGGCTACTTTTTTTCTCGTTGGCGTAAAAATTTCGTGGTTGGCTATGTGGCTATTTTTGGGCTATTCTTAAGGGTGCGGCGAACTCTTGTCGAACCTCAGGTTCGACGTCGAACTTTGAGGTTCGACTAGTTAATTTTCAAACTTTTAATCAGTTTCGAAAAAAGAAATTGTTTCTCTTTTGGCTAGTCGAGACGAGAGAGAGGAAGGAGAAGGGCTTCAAACTTCTACAAACTTCGGGGTTTTCACAATGCGCAGAGAAGCAGTGCTAGCAGAGTTCAAGCGGTGTTCTCACAGCGCAGTGGAACAAATCAAACAAACAGATTGCGCTATTACCACAAGCCCGGTAGCGCGTCTTCTACCCGGACGTAGACTGAACTCTCCAAACGCAGCTTCGGTGCCCATTGTGAAAATTCTTAGGCATCGCCCACTTTCAGAAAAGAAACACAATAAAAAATAGCGTGAACCTGAACTGGGGACGCTCATATTCTACACAAAGAAAAATAGACGGGAGGGTTATAGACCCGTTGCTCTGGGGCAGGGGCCGCGAGCGCATCCGCAAGACGCGACCATGTTATGATGGCTGAACCATTCAGGTGGCTGTGTAACGTTCGATTTTGCACGTGCCATGTTCGAGTGTAAGAATCTGAAGATGCGCGATAACAAAACCTCTAAAAATAAAAATTAAAAAAAAGAAATATGCAGCTCGCGGCCGCAGCGTCCCATTAAACATTCCTTTCATCTTTGCCTTCTTTCATAGCTTCCGCGAGCACGTATGTTTTACTTTACGTGATAGCGAAGCCGAAGCTACTCGCAAAAGCACGTCCTCCTGAAAGATGCTCGCACTGCACGAGCGCGCGTGCTTGACAGGGACGCTGAAAGCTCGCAGCTCGCTCTTGTAGCCTCTGCTACGCTGGCACTAGCTGGCACTTACTTAGAATGGAACGGAGTAGAAAAAAAACTGTAGTGGGGAAGCGTATTGACGCGTGTTCGAAACCCGAGCCAAATATTCTATTTTGCTCGCCTGGAGCGCTGCTCAAAACTTGAGAGCTACGGGCCTATTGGTAAGAACCTTAGATATAGGGGGTTCTGGTTTGAAACTCACAGTTCTGACTGTTCTGCTTCTGCATTCTGTTCTTTTACTGTATGATCATATCTCCCGGGCTTCACAATACAGCTGTCCATGTATGTTTTCTACTTCTGAAAACCTACGAAGGATGGGTCATTGTTTCACAAACTTTCATCCTTCTGAAACTTTTTGTTTCTTTTTTTTATCAGGGAACTTAATGTACATAAAAAGTGGCGCATCTGAGGGTTGAAAAAGAGAATGTAACGTGTTGTTTTTTTACGCGTATGGAGAATTGTCAATAAAAGGCTTAAAAATCGTTGTTTTTAGTCTTGGCTATTTTGGGCTATATTTATTTTATTTCTTTGGCTATATTTGGGCTATACCTCCCAGCTGTTGGGCGGTTTTTTGGTGGGACCATCTGGCAACACTGGACGGAGGTTGTCTCGCCTCCGGCCACGACGAGAGAAGAGGGGCAGGAGGAACTCCCCTCTTTCCGAGAATGCCTTTTGTGTGTCGCAGAAGTCGCTATTGTCCCCCTACAAGATTACGGAAGAATAACCCGTCACTCAAAATTCGTTCAAAAGCAGCTGCTTCGGTGGCTGGAACGACTAGGCCATCCTCTCGACGTCAGCCTCGCCGTAGCTTTGCTCGTCCTGAGACGACCTACGTCACGATTGCGTTGGATGTCACGTGGCCTCCGCTGGGCCTTCTCCGATTTTTGAACACGACGGGAATATTTCATATTTCGTTGTTTGGGAAATGCATGCACCCAACACTGGCGAAGCTTCTCATCCGGGACTTTCAATCTTTCTAACGCACCAGCAAGGGGGGAAACGTGGTAGCCCTTTCCCCTCTTCTCTCTCGCCCTCTTTTAGTAACACGGTCTATTGCTTTCTGGTTTACTGTCACAGAGCAGCCTGTTTTCGTTGCACAATGTTTCCGTAGACACATTGTCATGTCAAAACAGCGAGCGCAACAGCAAGCGCAGCAGCGGGCAAATTTCTTATATTTATGGGCAAACAGTTGCGATTACATTGCGGCATCCAAACGATACCTTGTTATGACACTCCATTCAGTTTCTAGGTGCAATATTTACGAAAGCTATCAGACTGACCCTTGGCCAATTTCCCCTGGGCATGCGCCAACGTAAGTCAAGTGACTGTGAATTTGCACCCTTTATTGAATGCATTGTATACAGGGGCGGATTCAGAAGGGGGGTCCGGATGTCCTGACCCCCCCTTGAATTCTGCATAGATCTGTAAATATTTAGGGCGTGGAAACGGAAAGGGGGGGGGGGGTCTTAAACATATGATTCGCTGACCAACATCTGACCCCCCCCCCCCCCCCCCCCCCCCCTCAAGATATGCCTGCGTCCGCCCCTGAGTGTATACCCAATTTTCCTTACCGCCTAGACAGGTGGATGGACTCGCCCAACACCACCTAGAATAAAGAAGGCCCCTTAACGCCCCTTTATTCCCCCATGGAACGTTCTCACAGTTTGATGGCGCCAACTCGGCAATTGGACCCGAGCCTGATGCCGAGCGTCTTTCGACGTCTTGATTGGACACGAGGCCCAGCCGAGCGCTGACGCAACACTCGTATATCCAATCTTTGTCTTTGCTCGACCTCACCTGTGATGACGTCACAAATCGAGTGCACAGGCTTTGATCATTCGAGGTGGTGTTGACTCACACCTCGCTGATGTGATTCCAAAGTAAAGGGGGGGGGGGGGGGGGGGGGGGTGTGAAACTGGGTGGGCGACAGAGCCCGATGAACTGAGGAAAAGATTAAAGGCTGAATGGAACACACGATGCGAAAAAGTGGACTAAGAATCGGGCGGATATCGAACCGACCCCCCCCCCCCCCCCCCCCAAAAAAAAAAAAAAGAAAAAGAAAAAAAAAGAAAACGTTGTGCGCGAGTTTCGGAAGACGAATCACATCAGACTTTTTTTTTTTTTTTTTTCGGACGGAGTTCGCGATGTGTTAAGATTTCAGCGGGGTTTTCTCGCACCGAGACGTCCGAAAATCGGAGGCTCCGTACAAAAAATATTTGGCGCTCCGGATCTTTCTAACCGTTTTCGATTTTCGCAAAAAGCGAGGAGCCCAGCTTCCGTTCGAATTATTATAAACCTTTTTCAAGTTCCGCGCTTTAGACCAGGGAGTGTTGCTGAGTTTGTAATTTTCTCCAGGCGATGGCGCCACCTCGGAGAGCGCCGAGAGTGGTGAGATCCGAGAATGCCCTGAAAGTCTCGAATGCTGCTGCTGTGTGTGTGTTTCAACTGTTGCTGATAAACAGCTGTGGCGGTGCTTTTGGTATGTTCAGATCCTTACTGGTAGCGGCGCGTACTACGCAGTTCTCGACATACTGTGCCTTGTCCGAGGTATTCTTTGTCCTAAACTTGACCCACTAACGCACTGGCAGCGCGTATCGCCGGATATCCGTTCACGCGCTTCGCTCCCTTGAAAACTTCGCTATCACGTATGTCACTCTCCGTCAAAAAAAGATATCGTCATTTGATGACAGTCCTGGTCGAGGCCGCATTTCTGAACCACTCGTTGTTTTGTTTCGTTTTATCTGTCAACAGTGAAACCGTCAGTCCGTTATCGGGCAAGTGGTCTCCGTGTCGGGAGATAGCAGTTTTCACACACCGCTGCGGTTTCGGTGGGCCCCCTCCCTTTGTTTCCCCGATATAGCGGCGATATCTCTTTGTGATCTGCCTCGGCGGAAGGGAGAAAAGTTGGGCTGTGCAAACGTTTCTTGCATGTGATGAATTTTGAATCGTGCGCTGATTTCGTACATGGGCGTTCGCGTGCCGATCGATTGCGATGGAGGCGTGACTCATTGATGACACAGTTGTTCGCCTTAACTTTGTCACTGTCGCTCGGGCGGCTCGGGGCGGAATAATGCAAACAGCGTCTCTTCGCTCGTCCGTCGGTCGCGCGGGCTGTTTGCCGGCGTCACAAAGGAGTTATCTAGCCTCTCGTGACGAGGTAAGTTGGGAGGCTTGTGTCGACAGTCACTGGCGCTGCTCTGGCGGAGCTTCGCGGACACCTGTTGCACCGCGCAGCGGGATCGCAGATTCCCGCCAATCACTGTCAGCTTTGGCAGTACCTGTCAATCGGTCTGCCGTGTCCAACTGGAGCAGACGATTCGAGCCGAGGGGTTAATTCAGCAGCGCCGAAAGCGCAACATCACGGCGTTCGCTGTCTTTCTGCTCGTGTTCATCTGTCAGCTCATCCAATCAAGCGCAGGGTGTGCGCCATTGCTTGACGCTTTTTGTCCGTGCATACGCGCTTGTTTGCCTCCCAGGCTTTGACAGCGCTCACGCTCCGGGTTAAGCGATGTGTACTGCAACCAAAACGTTTGCATTTATGCAGTCACGTCAATGCAGCTGTGCTTCGACTGTGTTCTTACTGGCGTCCATCTCCTTTCTGCTCAGGCTAAGATGTGACTGCAGTAACCCAGAGGGATGACTGACACTCCTCCCATCCTCCCCCGGAGACCCAAGCCCCCGTTCCCGTTGGAGGCGACTGGACGCGCGTCTCCTCCGATCTCGCTGGACACCAAAGTCCCCCGCTTTTCTCTGGCCTTCAAGGCACCCAAGCAGCCTCCACCCTGTGACGCTGGCGAACCCACTCCGTCGGCCCAACAGTCCACAAGCGTCCCTGTGCCACAAGACGCCCCACAGCCAGCACCAGCTCAGAACTTCACCAATCCCATCTATTTACTGATGGACGACAGATTGAACGCCACGTCCAGCGACCCCTCGCCCTCTCCTCCACCGAGGACGGAGCAGCGGAAGCCGAATTTCAGCGACACGGACTCCATCATGTTTCTCAAGCGGAACCGCCCCAAGCTGCAGCGGCAGAAGTCGGAGGAGATACCAGACTCGCCTCAGCTACCTCCCGCCCGCTTCCCCCACATCTACGAAGACGTGCCCGAGCACATGCTGGAAAAGAACCGACAGCTGGCGTCCCAGCGTGACGCCTTCAGCAGTATCTCGTTCGAATCTCCGCTTTCGAGCCACATCTCAAAGGAGGGCAGCACCGAGTCCTCCCACAGCTCGGCCTCCCTCTACGACACTCCGCGGGAACCGTCTGAGCCCAAGCGGGACGTGAGCACCTTCTGGCAGCAGCAGCAGCTCTCTATCTCCGGAGTGTTCTATGAGTTCCCGGTCGTACACTCTCCGCCGACCAAGAGCCCACCTCAGGCTTACGACACTCCGCCCAGCATCACCAGGCTAGCTTCGTTCCCGGACAGCGAAGGCGACACTCGTCAGATGCCGTCATCCTACGAGGTTCCGCCAACTCCAGTACCTGTTTCCTCAGCAAACTCAGCTCCGTGCATCTCAAAAGGAGACAAGAAAGACACCGACGACTTCCGAGAACAAGCCCAGTCTCCAAAGCAAGACGTGTTTGCGGTCTTCACCCCGAACTGCCTCTACGAAGTTCCCAAGTCGTTCCCCAGGAGGTATGTCTCGCCTCCCGCCAGTCCCTTCTCTTTTCCGGACCCGTCGGAAATCTACGACGTCCCGCCTCATCGTGCAAAGCTTTCCCCGCCGCCCCAAGACATCGACTTGGCTCAGAACCACTTCGAGTTTGACGACGACGACCCGGAAGAGGTGCCTCTCCTCTCGCCCCCTCCCTCCTACCCTCCTCCTCCTCTCCCCGAGGTCACACCTCCCGCAATTCCACCGAGGACATACCTCCAGAACTCCCCTCCTCTTACGCCACAGCCGGACAAGTCCGTGAAGCCCATCCCGGCAGTCCGGACTTCCCTCTCCAAGCGGCTTCCCCAAGAGCGGTCCAAATCCAACGCGACTCCGTCGCCCTTAGCCGAGAGAAAGGAGTCCTTCGCGTCACCGAGTCCGTCGGCGTCCGTCTTTTACCGGACGTTCCCGGCGGAGCACGCCGCCTTCTCAGGGTCCCTGACTTCGTCGGCAGAGCAGAGTCCGACCTTCTCGCAGCGCAGCGTGTCCTCCAAGAGCCAGAGCCCCGTGCCGGACTCTCCGCGCCTAGACTGTTTCTTTGACGGCCGGTCCTTCTCGGAGGGGAGGGAGCGGAACCTGTCGCAGGAAGGCAGCAGGTCGCTGGCAAGCGACAGCTCGTCGAGCAAGTCTGAAGCAGACTGCCAGATCCGGGAGAAGTCGGACTATGCTGGATACGTCTACAAGGCGGCGGGGAGCCGCAAGGGTGAGCCATCTTCTTTTGTGGGTGCCTGTGCTTTGGCTGTTAGAACCATCCAGGAACTGGCTAAGTATGGTTATGCTGTTGGGCCTGACCATCAGCAGGTGTTTACCCCAGCAGAGCCTTTTCAGAGGCCAGAGCCACGTAGTGGCATTCTCCAAAGCTCCAATATATGGCTTGCAAGTCACGTCTTTGTACCGTGCTGGTGGTCATTCTCACCTGTTCTTTCCTAAGAAAACAAATTTGGCTATGTGAATCGCAAGCTCTGGCCAGGCCGGAGCACACCTTAGTGGCCTTGCTATTCAGCAAAACCACTGCAGTGCCAGCAGACGTGACAACAGTGCAGACCATGTATATTTTCACGCTGTTGACAATGTCATTAGGTGAAGATGACAGGAGAACAAGATCACCTAAAATAAGTACTCTTGACCTCTGGTTTCAAAGGTCACGTATGAGGACAAATTTGCTAGCATTATCTTCCTGCTTTCTGCTCTGTGCTTACGCAGACGTTTGCTTTGCCTGACGTGAAAAAGTTGTGCATTGCCGCCATTACAGCGTCTGGATTGTTTCTGGACACAGTAGTTGCTTATGGAAAGGGTCGACGGGTTGCGCTTCCTCCGCTCCGAGAAGGACCTGCCGTCTAAAAGGCAGTCCAGTGCCCACTGTCGGGCCTGAGGGAATGTTGGTCGATTCTTGTAGCAGCATGTTTTAGGCCTGGCAGCTGTATCTGACACGCAATTTAATTTTGAATCATTACAGCCTAGCTTTCTTATTGCAATGTTGCTTAAACTGCATACATAAAGTACTGGAAATAAATTGCAAAATAGCTGGGGTGTTTCAGGCTTCAAGTCAAGTTGAAGGTACATTAGATGTGTGTAGGTAACAGATGTTGAATGTTATGTGTTTAGCTCTATTTGTGTGGTCGTTCATGCCTACCAAGACTTGTGTGGTAAAACAAGTATAGGCAATAAAAATTAGGTGCACGCTATATTTGAAAAAGAAACTCTTTTGGTTGATCAGCTAAATTTCATCGGCTGCCCTAACCATTCATCTTTCAAAAGTTGGAAAGGTAGTACTTTAAAGGGCTTATAATTTTCACAGACACCTGATTCTTACAACTTAAAAAATGTTGCAAAATAATGATTGTGCTGATATATCAGTCACCTCACGGTAACAATGAAAATTCGAGTCTGCAAAATGCTCCCAAAACCCACACTTTGCAAATGATTAAACTTCAAAAATAAAATTGTTTACAGTATTTAGAAGCTAGTGCTTCAGGTTTTTGTGGACAATATACCCGCTAATATGGAAACACGCAGTCCGGGCTATGGACAACTATTTTGGGGACGAACTGGGTTAATACGGGTATTTTTGTCTCGTTTTCATTGATGCCAGTACCCTAGTTTTTAAAAAACAAAAGATCCAAAAACTCTCCCAAGATACAAGATTCGAATTTGCTTGAAAACAATGATGTGACGTTTTCTTCCATCAAAGATTTCACCGCTGCACCCAACAACTAATTTTCTTAAACCGCTTCATAATTGCTCACATTTATCTTCTCCATACATTGCCATTGATTCCACTGCTGCTATAGCTGTCCAGGGAGAGCCATTGCGGGAGTGACCTATAACCGGGAACAGAGTAGAATGAACCCTAAAGCAGCTAAGTCCCCTCACTGTAGTTTCATTGTTTGGGGAACGGGAAAAAAGCTCTGAACCCGCGAAGCTAATTTCTCCTATAAAAAGTAGACGATGTCAGGCAAGAAAGTGGAAACGGTCAGGGACCATTGTGTGTGTCAAACGTAAACAAAAGGAGCGCTCTGCTCAACTGAAAGAAGAAATTTGCAAATTCAAATGTGAGGGCGTCTTCTGCATCTGTGCAGTATGTGAGAGAGTGGAGCTAAATGAACCGCGTATTTCTTGTTATTGCTATGCCTATTGATGCGTATGTTTTGACCCTGATTTATTACGGATGAGTTTTCTGGAGAACGGAGGCGTCCATATTAGCAATACATGACAGTATAGTACTTTTCAACAACTGCACAGTAGTCCATGTTACCCAATAGCCTTTTCTAGCACGGAATTAACTTCTCGTTATTTACAAAGAAGCCTGCATCGTCGCGAGGCATTTAGCATGGGGTGGGTTTTACGAAGCATTCATAAAGCATCACTGGAATGTTTGTAATGTCTTTGTGTGGAATCCTCGTGTGCGCAGCTTTCCAGAAGTGCTGGTGTACGTTGAGCGACGGCTGCTGGAGTTACTACTCGTCTGAGAAGGTGACACTTTTTTTGTCTTTCTTTCGAGCCACATTGCAAATGGTGTCCAAGAGTGTTGCTGACGTGTGGCCGGTTTCTTTCATGACTGCCAGGACACAACACCGTTAGGCACGGTATCTGGCCACGACATTGCTGCTGTTTCCATGGTTCCCGGAGACGAGCCAAGGTGGTTGCTCACTTCACCTCTCAATTTTCCCGTTTCTTGGGGTGCTTCTGTTGGTAATTTAGACAGAACTTTTGAACAGAGGGTGCATGATGTTTCTTATACCAGTAGAAAATTTTGCTTGACCGTGTGCAAGTTTGAACCAGAAGCCTAGCAGCCTTTCCAAGGCATCGTGTAAATTTAGCTGGGAATCTAGCAGAAAAAGAGCGCATCGCTTCTGGTTCAGGAACGTTTTCTGCTGTCGGCCAAGGTCGAGGGGAGTGGCCGTCTGCGATCTTGCGTGTCACCATTTGTCATCTGCTGCGCCAGTCGGGCACCTTTAATTAGCAGACGGCTGCCATAGGTAGAGATTTCAAGTTTTGATTTCTAACTTTTTACTAAGGTAGGTTTGGTTAGTGAAATTTTTATACCCTCGATTCACATTCTTCAGCCACCTCTGCGTAAAATCTTAGCTCGATATGTTCATAAATGGACTTATGTGGCCTCTTCAAACATTCTTTGATCCCTTCGACTTCTCCCATATATTAACGGTGTTCGTATTTACGGGTCACGACTGTAAGCACTCGACTCCGCTCAATACTCGCTGCACATTCGCTGTCTCCCCGTCTCGCCCGTAGGATTAAGGTACACATGCTTAGCTTTTATTTAGGTCTTTTTCCCCCACCTCTCGCACCGCATCCAGCGCCGCCACCTCGCTGGTGCCCAACCTGTGGTGCTTCGAGGTGCACGCCCTCCAGTCTCAGTGCCGCCAGCTGCTGCTCGGCGTCCCGCTGCTCTCCGAGCGCCGGGAGTGGCTCGAGCGCCTGACGCGCCTCGTCTGCGCCGCTCCCGACGCCGGGCCGACGTCGGGGGGCCCTGGCCCGAGCCACGCGGGGCGCCTGCACCTCAAGGAGGGCACCACCGGCTTCTGGCAGGTGGCCACCGTCGTGCTGCGGGGACGCTTCCTTGCGGTCGGGGTGGCCGGGTCGTCCGAGGTCGTCGACCTGCGCAGGGTCATGTCAGTTGGTGAGTACGCGCTCCGCCCCGAAGCCACGGCCAAGCCGCTCGTGCGTCGTATGAAGGACGCTGTGTTCGCTCCAGACGCGACGAGATCATTTTCTGTGGACACGCCTCACGCATGCTTGAAGCATGTGTGCTTTATACATATGTATGCATCGAACGCGTCTGCAGACGGTACAAATGTGGTCCCGCATTTTTTGCCCAATGACCAATGAGAAGTGCCACAATGTTGCCTATCTTGGCAGTGGAACAGCTGTAGAGGTGAATGCAGCAGACGCCCGTTTTGCTGCGGGCGGCGACTCCGCAGCCAGACGGTCGACGGAAACCAAGACAGACGCGAGACGAGACGCCGCAGTGGTTTTTCTTTTCTTTTTTTTCGCCGGCATTTCTTCGGCCAACTTCCAGAATGGCCACATCCGACGGCGTAACGCGCCAGCTCCTGCGATGCGATTTGTTGCCACTTCGAGACTACTTTCGGCGCACGTTCGGGAGGGAACAGTAAACGCACCCATTGAGGACGCATTTCAGGCACCGTACCCATCATCCTAAACCACTTCGCGACAAAGAAAAGTGACATCTACGACGTGCGGAGGTCTAATGATTCCTAGTAGAAGTGAATGGGGATGTGTTTTTTTCTTGGTTCACTTTCTTATTTCCTTTACTTCATTTTCCTTACATCTCGCTTTTTTTTTTTTTTTCATTGATGCGCTTTTTGTATTATCGATGCGTGTGTAAGGTGTACGGACCAAATTTATCAAATCTCGTAAACATGTTGTGATCTAGTAGATGAGGAAGAAGACTAGATTGGGGGATGATAAAGAGGAAATATGAAAGAATAGTTGATAGTCAGCTTTGTGTGTGTGTCTCATCTCATCATCCGGTGCTTGAGCTGTTTCCCCACTATGAGTGACCATGTACCAACTAGCTCAACCGAAACCGATATTCACTTCCTAAACCACCTGGATGCTTTCTTTTACAATTAACAACAACAGACATTCGCTGCAAAGCACGTTTTTCAGTAACAAAGGGGCGTCTATAAGTTTGTTTCACTGCCGTGCGCTGCCACTCACTTTGTAAAACCCTCGCCATCATGCAGTCGGCAGTTCGAGGAATGACTGTACTCATAAGAGGCACGAGGCGTGCCTTTTGCGTCTGGTGACTTTATTATATCCAGACGAAGCCAAGCCACTCGAATAGTAAACTCTCTCTTATGGTGTATTTGTACTATTGGTACTTTGAGGTGTAGTGTTTGAATTCACACTTGCCTATTTTATGCATTTTACGTGACTCCCTTTCTCATACTCTAATGTGCAGGCTGAACTCGATGGTACATTGGCTTTTTGAAGGCGCGGCATAAATCGGTTTCTTCGACATAACACACTATGATTAACCACAGGCATGCCCACAAGTTTAACATTTAGCATTTGAAAGTAGGAAAATGTGTGTTCACCTAAAATGAAAGAAAAATATGTTTTTTTTTTCCTAGGAATAAACATACATCTAAACGTTGTTTTTTCATACAATCATCAGATGAGCATTTTGACATTTATTACAACAGAAAAGCAGGTGTAAGATAATTAGCTTATTAACATTTTTTCACCTTCATTTTGCAAAAATTAATGCCACAGTGGCCCGCCATATTTCATGGTTGCTAAGCTTACCTCAAATATTTTTTTTTAGGTGAATTTTAGTTTGCTTTGTTTTTGTTGCTAAATTTATTAATCATTTAATTACACTTATATACTAAATTACATCACACTTTGTTAAGAAACAGATTTATGTGGTTCCTTTAAAGTGCCAATGCGCCATTGGGTGCCCCTTATAGAAAGAATATTTTGCAACCTGCCATCGGCATCTATAGCTGCATTTATGACAGAGACACTGTGGACGCAAAATATGATTCGCCATGTTGCACTGCCCTGTTGCTCTTCCGGGGTTGCAGTTGCATGTTGGTATTGGTCGCGATATCCTTCCGCCTTCTTTCACAATATTTAGAAAAGGCAGAGTAGAGCCTTGAGGTGGTTGTATCGCTGGTATTTTTAAAGCTTTGGTGAGATTGGTGCCAATAAATTGTTTTATCACCGGAGAAGTGTTATGGTGCAAGATAACCACTCGAGGAAAGGCGTTTATTGTAGATGCTGCTTATAGACCTCCAAGCGCCCCACCAGAGCTTTTAAGCTCTTATTTACCTGGAGAAGCATACCGTAAAATCCCGTAAGGACGCCCACCCAAAATGAAGAGATAAATGGTGAAAAACGTGGGGTGGGCTATCTTTTAGGATGCCACAGCAAACCTTTATCAAAAATTAATGATAAGCGCCGGGGCACCCGCTACAAACCACGTGACGCGGGAACTGATACCGCAGATCGCGGACACGGCAAATTCGCGTTTCACGATGCGACAAACACGCGGGAATTCGCTACGAACTCCTGGATTACGGGAAAGGATACCGCAAGTGGCCGACGCAGCAGATTCGCGTTTCACGCGGTGCGAAGGACTCGCGGAAACCCCTCGAGGACTCGCATCTCACGGGAACGGATACCGCAGATCGCGGACGCAGCAGACTCAAGTTTCATGGCGCAATAAAGACGCGGGAACCCGCTACAATCTTGCTTGTCACGGAAACCGATATCGCGCGCGCAGATCGCGGACAAAAACACGGGAATACGCCACAAACTCGTACGTCACAGACACAAATACCGCAGATTGCGGACGCAACAGAATCACATTTCACGATGCAACATACGCGTGGGAACAACTAGCCTGTTACGCGAGCCGATATCACGCGGAGATCGCAGACAGAAACGCGGGAACCCGCTATGAACTCGCTTCTCGGACACAACGGATCGCGCCGTTGATGCGCGATTCCCGTCGGACATCGCTTGACGTCCAACGGGAATCGGGGGGTGGGCGATGTGTCGGAATTTTTATGGTACAGATATTTAGCCAGAAAAACGGGATGGGCGATCTCTCGGGGGAGGGCGCCTTTACAGGATTTTACGGTAGTAAAAAATTGTTTGCCTCTTTGAGGGGCATTACTAATTTCCCCCGTTATGGTTTATGGTATGAATTAAGGTAGTTGTATGTGCATTTAATATAAATTATTTTGTAAAAACTTACATGTTACAAAAACACAGAAAGATTTTTTTTTTTTTTGTGACAACCAAATTTGGTAAGAACTACTTCATGTTGTGTATGCACTATACCGAACTTGATTTCTCTCGTGAGGTGACAGCGATTATAGATCATTTGTATGATTGTCTGTGATGGGGATAGACAGCTCAGTAAATGCAGACAAAGAAAACAATACAACCCCAACAAAAAACTGAACGAGGGAAAAAGAGGTGGCTTTCCTGCAAGTGGAAATTAATTTTGTCGCAGAGGGTTAGTTGTCCTCTTTTCGTTTCTTGAATTTGGTTCCCTAAAGCACCTTTGGAAGTTCCCCAAGCTGCAAAGTCCCCTCAGCCGTTTCTGCTCCTAAGTATTCTTGCAATTTTAAGCAAAATTTTAGAAGATCCGAGCTATTCATTGATGCATTGCTAGGAGCCAAATTCCCCCTGGTATGCACCAGCGTCCTTAGATCTATCGGTTGACAAGCTCCACGGAAGTCACTCAGAAACGGTCTTTCTTGGCGGCCTGCGCATAAGTAGGTGTGGGCACATAGCACAGGGGTAGACCGTTTTCGAACAACACTCTTTTTGTGCGAACTTTTTGTTCACCATAACAACCACGATAGAATCGCTTCCCACCGCATGCAACGTGCATCCAACGTTCCACCGATTCAGTCATTTCTTTCCGTACGGGACGGCCCGATAACGTAGAGAAAGCGCCGCCTAGCGGACGTGCCAATGAAAAGGTGCCAGGCATTCCAGGAAGCCCGTCAACCCACTTTGACCTAGTAACGTCGGTATGCGCATAATTTTCTGCAAGGTCCGTCAACTCATGCACCGCTTCGTTACTTCAATGCCAAGATCGGGAAGGGTCCCTCGGCAGTTAGTCGGGAGAGATAGGCGTTCCTTGAGACAAAAAACTTTGAAAACTGCGAGATAACCCTTCCGGACTTGCTCCGAGGACGTGTTCCGTTTCCCAGCTTGAGAGTGCGTGCCTTTCCCTTTGTGCGTGTGCAGGCAAGGTGCTGCCGGACCAGACGTACCTGACGTACGGGGGCGCCCAGGAGCGGGGCCTGTCCTTCCAGGTGCGGCTGCCCGGCCGGGTGCTGTACCTGCAGGCGGACCAGCCGAGGCACACGGACGCCTGGCTGGCCTCCGTGAGCAGGGCCTGGCGCACCCCGCCGGACCCGGCCCTCTCGGACCAGTACCTCACCCAGGACGGGCTACCTGTGGCCGTAGAGCGCTGCATCAACTTCGTCAGCACCCACGGTGGGTGGGCCACGCCGGGCTGGGCAGTGTTGTTTTTCTTCTGCTAAATAATCCTGGTGTCGAGCCATTCTACCGGGTGGTTTAAGGAGACGGCACGCTCTTTAAATCGACCGGAAAGTTTGGTTTCTTAACCTATCGTGCTACGACTTTGTGCAGCGTTGCCCACAGATGGTGCATTTTTTTTTTGTAAAATTTGCAAGGAGCAATTTTATCTGAGGAAAAAGTAAAGAAAGAAAAAGGCTTAGCTCCTATGGAAATGCAGCGACGCCACCGGTCTTCAAAGAACACGGCGCCGTTTCGCACGGGAGACAAGAGATGGCGCAAGCAGTCGCGACGCCAACTGCCGCCAACGAACGAGCAGACGATGCCGAGAGCCGGCGTATTTAGCAGATAAGGAACTGCTGTTCCTTGTTGTTACCGCACCTGTTTTTGTTTCTGCGACTGTCGCCGCCCGCGGAACGCACTCCGCTTTTGAGTCGAAAAGATTGTCTGCTAAAGACGCTGGTTCTCGGCGCCGTATGCTTGTTCGTTGGCGGCGTTCGTTGCGCCATCTCTTGTGTCCCGTGCGAAACGCCGCCGTGTTGTTTGAAGACCGGTGGTGTCGCTGCGTTTCCATAGGAGCTAAGCCTCTTTCGTTCTTTACTTTTTCCTCAGGTAAGTTCGCTCTTCGCAAATTTTACAAAAAAAAATGCACCATCTGTGGGCAACACTGCACAAAGTTGTAGCGCGATAGGTTAAGAAACCGAATTTTGCGGTCGATTTAAAGAGCCTGCCGTCTCCTTGAATCACCCAGTAGTCATTTGTAAGTTTTTCTCCTCGAGCGAGGCTGCTGAACGTTGGATGTGGTTGCTTTCAAAGCTGACCTGTTATCGGAAGTCCAGACACCAGCAGGTGCGAGCAAACCTGAAAAGCTTATTCGAGAAGAACACAAGCGACGGTGACCGGCAATCAGTTATACTCGTGAAGAGTTTGTCCTCAGCATTGTCTCAAATTTACTCCCAACTGCACAGGCGTGGCGGCCAATGGATAAGAAGGAGAGAAAGAAGGACAAGGCAGACGAGTCCACACCAATGGCGAATGTGACTCCTGGATCCTCGTCTGCGGCACAGAAAGACAAACCGACTCTTCCGGCCAATTATTTAATGGCAACCGCTTTGTGATGGAGTGAATGGCAAAACGTGCTGTGCTCTTTCTCGTTCTCATCTTCTTCCTTGCTTTCGCCGTTGACGATTCAACAGCGCCTGGAACGTGTCTTCAACTGGTGCATTTGCTGCGTCCTCAAAAGTGGTTCCTCGACTTCCGCCTGATGTTGCCGTGGAAGCATCGTCCTATTGCCTTGCGCAATACTGGCAGCGTCGCAGCTGCAGAGGCCGATGCAGCAGACGCCTGTTCTGCTGTAGGTCGCTTTCAATCCAGACGGTCGATGGAGACCGAAGCAGGCGCAAGATGGGTTGCCCCACGGCGGAGACTCTTTCGTTCGGTCGCTTTTTTTGCCAGCGGCATTTCTGGGACCAACCGCCAGGATTGCGACATCCGACGGCACGCCGTCTCCTGCGACGCAATTGGTTGTCGTTTCGGGACCACTCTGGATGCATGGGCAGGGTGGCACGGCAGTCGCACCGGTCGAGGACATGTTCCAGGCACCGTTACGCCGCCCTATTCCGGTCCGGCATTATAGTCCAGAGCCAATGAATGTGTGGTGTAGCTGGCAGTTTCTCTTATGTGCCGCATTCGTCGGTGGAAGGAGTTGGGGCTGGGTTTCAGTGCTGGACAGTTGGAGCAAATTAAATGTATCAATATTAGATGTGGAACAACTGAGTGTTTATGCATATTGATTTGCTTTGCTGACTTTTTTTATTGTTCTACCTGCACCATGCTGTAGCCTTTAAAAGGTGACTGGTACAACTTAGAAGTAAGGTAACTCGGGACCTTTAAATCAAGCCCATTGGTCCAGGATGGTTGTTTGGAGAATAGAAATGTGGAAGACGACAGAGCAGATCCCACAATATCTCGCGGATGGTTGCGCCGAGCACAGGGAAGCATCCATTACCTGTCTCAGGATAACAGAAGCGGGATGCATCCTCAGTCGATGTTTAATAATCCTTCTCTACACCTCTGCAGCCAGCTCTCACTATCTTTGAGCCGTCGCAGCATGGTTTGATTTTTACTTTATTGCTGTTTTGGCATCCACGTTTTGTTTGCTTCTTTGTCCCGCCTTGACTCGGACCTCCAGAAATGTGGATCAAGGTTGATCCAGAGTGCATTGTGTGCCTCCGCAGGGACACTCCTGACTGGCATCTACCGACTGGCTGGCTCTAGCTCCAAGATCAAGAAGCTCGTGGATCACATGCTGAACGGTAGGACCTCGGAGCTACCTCCTTCCCGTCTCTAGTGGCCAAAATTACGGAGCGTTAAGCGTGGTACTTTCTGTACCCGTCGGAGCGGACAAATTATTGAGCGCCCAACGCTTTCTGTACCCATTAAACGGGACATTTTTCTGGTCTTGGAATGAATCGCGAAGCCACAGGGTGAATCACACAAACGTGCCTCTAGGAATTTGTAACTGCAATCTACCGTTGTTCGGGGATGCAGAAGGGGCAATAGAGCTTTTGACAAATTACTCATGCAGCAAAGAGAATGCTGGAAATGTAGGTGGTGTGCGTTGCACGTGCTGGCGACTGCAGCAGTAACTGCTAGAAGGCAAAAAAGCTAAAATAGAATGGCACTTTACATGTGCGTTTCACAAACACCTTATTTTGGTTATTTACTTTGAATCTTTTATATGAGAATGTCGAGCGTGTGTGCCAATGTTCCCAGTATTCTCTTTGATGCTTGGGTAATTTAGTGAAACATTTATTGCCTGCCCCCCTCTCTGACTTCTCCTAAATGAAAGAATAGATGTTTATTACTGAAAATTATGCTGAGCCCTCTGGACTTGGGTCATTTGGGTCGGTCGAGAAAACTGCTTGAAGGAGAGAAAAGGAAACTTTCTGTGGCCCCCCCCTCTCTCATCTCAGACGCCCCTGGTACAGATAGAGCCCGCTCAAATATTTCTGTTTGCATCTTTCCCGTTCACCCTTTCAGACCCGTGGACACTTCACCTGACCACCGAGGAGTATTCGCCTCATGATGTCTCTAACGCTCTCAAGCGCTACCTGCGGGGTTTCAAGGACTGCCTCCTGACGGCGGAGCTGTATCCCCAGTGGATCCAGTCAAGCAGTATGTGATCTTTGTCTCATAAGTGTGCGTGTTCGGCCCCAGACTCGCTTTTGCGAGCTTAGGCCCGCTTCAGACGGGGCAATTTTTCCCAGCGTCTTGACTTCGCAACACCAGCAACACGGGCCTCCAACACTCACACGCAGCAACCCCTGAAGATCAAATTGCTGCGTTTTTTTTTTTGTCGTTATTAAAATTTTAAATGTATCGCACTACTTAGACATAAAGTTTCACATTAATAATGTGTTCCTTTTTGGCTGCGTTGAGAATACTATTTCATCTCACTGAAACAAGTTTGTCCCGAAAACTATCTATTTCAAACCATAACCGAGTTAAGCCTTCTGTCCCATCACCGCCACAAGGGGGGGGGGGTCACATGAAAATATTGAGTCCTTGATTGGTTGTTGCCGCTTCAAAGGTCTTCGGGTTCTTGAAGTTGCTCACCCGTTTCGAACCGGACTCGATCCAAGCGATTTATGTCGCAGCGCGAGGATCTAGGGAATCATAAAGAACAATTCGCCAGCTGCCCCGAAATTGCTGGGGAAATTTCCCCGTCTGAGGCGGGCCTTAGGTTTTCGTTTTGGTGATGGGTACTGCAATGCGACCCAGTGAAAGTCTTTTTCCTGCTGAGCCTCTATCGTTGTTACGTATCTTGCAGAAAGGGAGGTAAAGTAATCCCTCTTTATAATGAAATTGCTTTTTTTGAATTATTGCATTATCGAAGTTCAACGAGGTCCCGACCGAAATGCACACATTTTTAACCGGATTATTCGAAGCGTATCGGCGGCCGACCGCGCTTATTACGAAGGCCAAGGTGCCGAACGCATGCAAGCCTACACGGAGACCCTTGCGTTCCCTCTCTCTTCTCCACCGAGGCAGACGCCAAACTGGGAAAACGGAGTAAACGGGCGACAGAGGGCAGAGCACGCAGAGCTGGCAGAGTGTTGCTTTTGATACAAACATGCTGACACGGGTTCGACTCCTGTCGGAATCGGATCAAGGGAGTGATAGAGCCCGGAGGAGATCATTCCTTCTGGAGCCCCCGACGCACGTGCCTGAGTGGGCACACCTGCGGCGCACTACACGCGCACGTGCATCGTATGGCAGATTGGGAGTGTTTACCGAAAGTCGCTCGAATCTGCGAAGTTGAGAAAAGTGGCCGGCACAAGTCCAAAATCGGCGCAAAATTTTACATTCCTTCATCGGCTGGTCGACAATGTTCATCATTTTGCGGAAAAAGCGAGGATTATTGGACGGTTCCATAAAGTACTGAGAAAGCGCACCTGCAACCCAAAGATGAAAGATTGCCAAGTGCTTCACTCATATTGGATCTTCTCTCGCGAGCATGCTTGCCGACCGGCACACTATTACCATAGATGCAACGATCTGTACAGGAGTGTGTGACAAGATGTTGGCAAAGCCACCAAAAATAACTTTGATTTGTTCGCGCTTGTCGATGGGGACGTTCCCGTTGTTGCTTCTGTCACGGATGCTGCGATCGTAGACCTTGGGTGTGGCCAGGGTAAACACTGACGGACGTCGGAGAGGCACCTTGGGAAACGCCGACCATTGCGGAGACACGAAACATTCCACGGCTGCTTCGAAACAAAGTGGAGTGCAGCAGCGGCGACAGTGTTCTTGCGATGCCTGGAGCAGTTCGAGGAGAATTGATGCCCGGATGAAATTATATGCAAACTCCACCTAGTTATCTTCTTACTCGGTAAAGCTGCCACGAGGTTTTCGTAACCAAGATTCGTTTGATTAAATATAAGGTCAGAGTGTTCAGCAGTGTTCCTGTGCACCTTCAAGGCTCCTGGCACTGTTTTTTTTTTGACTCTGTTGCTTTTATCGAATTGCCGCTTATATCGAATTTTTTTGCTGTCCCGTTGACTTCGTTATAATGAGCGATTTCTGTAGAGACACATACACATTTAAATGCAATAGCTGGTTGTACCATCCTAGCAGGAGAGCTATGTTTTCTAGATGATTGATGTAGCACTTTTTCTAGGGCTGTATTCAGATGGTACGCTTTCACAAATACCAATTCGGCCGTCTGCAAAAATTATTTGCGAGCCAGTTATTTTTTTTTATCTCGTTTTATTCTATTGTGTTTTATTGTATAGTATTGTCCGAGACGAAAGGGTTTTGGGAAATTAAGTGTCTGACTCTCGGATGGGGAAATTTTTCGTCTTGAGTGGGACTCTGTAACAATAAGGCAGTTAGTTCAAAACAATGCCAACTTCAGCGGACAATTACCAAGCGTGTTAGCTCATCATAGCGTGGAACGTGTGGAGCAATAACTTGCGCTGCACCATTGAACCTCGGGGATCATACCCGCGTTCAATCCCTGCCATATCTGGGTTCGATTTCTGCCCTAGCCCACTTCTGTCTGGTCGAGCATCGCGCTGCACCAGGCAAATTTCTCCTCTACTGCATTGAGCTAGCATTGCCATACCTCAAAGGTAGACTGGCCTCTCGGTCCAGTTTGCTTTTGCACAGGGGAAAGACAAAGCAGATTGGGTCATTCTTTCGTTGCAGAGTGCCAGCACCCGTCCGAGAGGCAGAAGATGGTGAAGAACCTGCTGAACGAGCTCCCCAGCGTCAACTACCAGCTGCTGAAGAGGCTCATCGGCCACCTGAAGAGGTCACTGGAATTACTGTGTATCTGCGGGGAGGCATTGGATGTGCCTGGAAAGGAGTTGTTTTAAGCAGCCACCGAATTTTTTATTAATTTATTTACACAATTTTATTTACATTGTACCTATATTTCTTCATGGGCATTATTGTAGGAGGGTTACGCTGAGTTTATAGAAAAGCACGAAAAGAAAATTAATTTTTATCCATTCACACAATTATTCCCGAAGGACATCTTGACAAAAAATGAATTTGCAAAACAGTGTTTCATAACAGCATACATGAACCTTCTTTTAATTATTACAACAAGAAGAGACGTAGAAGAGCTTCAAAAGATGTGTTGTTTTATCGATTCCAGTATTGTTGTAAAATGCACGAGAAAAAAAATTCATCTATACACTTACTGTAAAATCCCGCAAGAATGACCACCCAAAATGAAGAGATGAATGAGGAAGAATATGGGGGATGGGCCATCTTTTTGAATGCTGCAACAGCAAAACTTTATAAAAAATTAGTGACCCCCCTTCGCTACAAACCATGTGAAACTGGAACTGATACCACAGATTGCAGACACAGCAGATTATCGTTTCACGGAGCAATAAAGACGTGGAAAACCGCTACAAACTCGCATATCACAGGAACCAATATCGTACATGCAGGTCGCGAACATAAAAGAAAAAAAAAAAAACGAAAATGAATTACAAGCTTGCGTCAAATGAGAACGGATAGCGCGGACGCAGCAGGTTGGCGTTACATGGTGCGAATAATACGAGGCAACCCATTGCAAACACGCTTGTCACACGTGCCTGTGCCGTAGATCGTGCAGTTCATTCAGCTCGTTTTGTTAAAGTTTTTTCCACCTTGAGCACCATTGCTTGAAAAGGGGCTGAAATTTGCGAGTTCAGCGTGCAATCTGAGCATCGCGGCGCTGCACCACTGCTCACCGGGTTACATTAAGACCAGTTGGCCGAGTTCCGGTGAGGCTACCCGCCACTGAGGTGTCGGCTCGTGCTTTCTCTTGTTCAGCATCAGCGACCACAGCGACCGCAACTTCATGCCCGTGCTGAACCTGGCCCCCGTGTTCGGGCCCTCGGTGCTGTACAAGCAACAGCCGCAGCCGCCGGAGGGCGAGAGCCAGGCTAGCTTCGAGGAGAGCAATGCCTCCATGGACGTGGTGGCCGACCTTCTCTCTGGCTACTCTCAACTCTTTGAGGTGAGCTAGCACCCTGCCGGATAATTTTTATATTGGATATTGGACGTCGGGGTCAGCTGCCATCCCCCTTGGCCAGATTAGAGCTGTTTGATTTGAATACATGGGCGACCTACGGCAGTGTGGTGTTGTAAGTGAACGGTAAAAATAAATTGCACAAAAAAAAAAAAAATGAAGGAGGAGAAGATGAAGTACACACACAAATCACTGACACAGTGCTTCGTGTTTGTCTTCTTGTCCTTCGTTGTTTTTTTTTTTGGTGCAATTTATTTTTTCCTGTAACACGTACCACCAACTCTCCCAGCTTTCCACCGTATTGCAAGGATTGGACGTGCATTGTTTTGTGACGCTCTTTGAAACCACACAGAAATGGCTCCTTCGTAGCAAAGGTGTTCGACCCTTACAACGAGGGAACTTGGACGAAATGTATTTTTTGCTGGTCCCGCGGAATTCGTCATTAAGCTTTGACTGTAGTGCTGACCGACGAGGCTTTATTTTGAGAAACATCATCCAAAGTGTGTATTTGGGAAGCAGGAGGTTGAAAAGGATAAATGGAAAGATGGCAAGATAGAAGTAGGGGTCCTTTTTTTTTTAGAGGTTTGTTTCTTTATTTATTACTTTTTGATTTTTACAGTGCATGTGTATCAACTCCTTTGCTATTGAATTATTCATTGCAATACCTTTTTCCGGCTGAGCTGTTAAGGGCTAGTTTCCCCAGGGATTGTGTCCGGTACCAAGCAAATGTCGACACCCGTGGTCGACACAACACTCTGGTTGCCGCCGTCACTCATAGATGGCAGTAGCTGTCCAGAGTGTTGTGTTTGCCGGTTGTCTGCTTGCCGCCGTCGCTCATAGATCACGGCAACCTTCCCAGCCTCGGCAACCGGACAACTGGTTGCTGTCTACGCTCATAGATGGCGGCAACATTTCTTTGGAGGAAGAAGAGCGGGAACGGAATGAGCGGCAATGTGCGCAGCAGCACGAATTGTTCTGCAACCGCCGCAAGGCCGCTATTGCCTAATGTTCCAGTACGTCGAGCGCTTCAGATTCCCTTGCAAAAGTAGAGCAGATTGCTCGCCCGGAAAGCCACCGTTGAGGTCAGAAGCTACCAGCTCCGCTGCTCTTCCTTCTTCACCAGAGTGAAAAGGCTGAAAGGTTTTTTCCTTCTTTTTTTTTTCTTTTTCGGTTGGGATAGAATTTTGCTTTTGGTTGCTCAATGCAGGTTGACCCAGCCGAGATGGAGAAGGAGAAGAAAATCCAGGCAGCACTGGACCTGCTCAGGGAAGCCAAGATTGCTCAGGTGTGGCATTGTTGTCTCGCTGGCCTTTCCGGTTTCCTACGGTCTCAGACAGGACGAGAGAGGCAGGAAAGTCTTTCAGTCATCGTGCCCAAGGTCGGGCTTCCAAAAAATATGCCCTGCCATTCTCGTCTTGTTTGTGACCGTAGCCAGCTTCAGTGTGCACTAGGAGCAAACGTCTCTATGCATTTTCAGAGGCCGGCCGGAGACATTCTGGTTGGTGTGTACGTCTACAGCAAGGACTGGGGACACTGCATCAACGTCAAGGTAAGGGCCCCGTGCCAACCGGAACCACAGGCCAACTTTGGGGTCGTGGACCCACGGCTTCCACCTTGAAAACGTTTGCCTATTTGTTTGTCGGTAACAAACTTAAAGGAGAACAATACATCCGTCCTCGCCGACGTAGCGTATCTGGACGTACAAGGACGAGGGATGGCTGCTGTTGCTCGAGCATTCGAGTAGGAAGGTAAATACGGGGAAATTACGTCGCTTCGGTCTCGTTAGGAAAGAAGCCTTTGTCGGGTGCAGCGGAAACGGTTGTGCTACAATCGGGTGTTTACGTGTGGGAAGCAGCTGTAGTAGAGCCACTAGGTAGATCACGTTTAGACTGTCGGCACTGCGTCCCCTGATTTTATGATGGGTACCACCATCTTCGTGCTTAGTGTAGAGTGGGCGCAATTGACGGTCGTCGCATTCTAAAGTGCGACTTCCTCCACTTTAGATGCTGCGTTTGGAAGCTAGGGTGGCACTGTCTCGCTCTGTTACGGACCGTTCTAACGTTTCCCCAAGTTTCAGATGAAGCTTCGAATAACTGGCAACCACGATTTCAAAGCACGAAGACGGCCAAAGTTTCGTTACTCAAGACCGTGGTTTATTTAGTGGCTCAAGCAGTAATAGAGACGGCTACACGCCCGTCTTTGTTGCGGCCGTACCCATTTGCAAGTCTGTCCAGCCGACCAATTTGCGACGGGCGTTGCTAAGCCACTGCCTCTCCGAATGCCTCCCTCTTGAGCGCTTGCATGACGCCCGAGCCCGGCGACCTTTGCAGCTCTCTCCCGGCATGACGGCGGGGGCGCTGTGCAAGCTCACCATGTCGCAGCTGGACATCAAGGAGCCGTCCAACAAGATGGCCGTCTTCGAAGTGGTCCACGACCAGGACCTCGGTGGGCATTGCTTTCTGTCTCGGCGTTCTTGAACGTAGCTCTGTTCCGGTGGGACCTCCCATGGACTTTTCCGCATTTACGAGCACGGTGGTCCTTCTGAACATAAGGGCGGTTTGGTCGTTTTACAGAGGAATTGGAAAGATCTCCAACAAATCTCTCGCTAACCGATCCTTTAGCTAACCAGGTCATAGAATATTTTATGAAGTTTGCTAGAAGCGATTCTATAGTGGGAATTGTATGTACTCTCATTTGACCGGAAGTTTGCGGGGACGCAAAATGCGACAATGCCTCCTTTGGATGCTTTTATGAAAAGGGTCTATTCCTAGGTCGTAGACTTTCCAGTTTTGACCGAAATATGCCGATAAACATGCGTCAATGTCTCAAACACAAAATCATTCAAAATCAAGAAACACAAATCAACGTCTGCTGGTGTAAAAAATACAACATCTGTTCAAACCGAAAAACTCCGGTTCCTGGAAATTTTCGTTTCAGCTGGGACTGTTCTTGTTGAAACCTTCCCCTCTTGCACTTGAACTCGCAATTTTTATTTGATATTTTTCACCAATTGCTTCTAGCCTCTGTCTGAAACGCACCAATATGAGAAACAAAAATGAATGCAAAAAAATTGCTGATTTTTCTCCTAAATAAATACAAAAAAATCCATGCCCTACCTACTATAGTATGTTTCACCTTACGATAGTCTGCGATGACGCTAAGAACCATCGAAGCCGATCCCATGCTGTGACAGTGTGAGTGTCACATGACCTTTGGGAGAGGAGCAGCGACATGTGGAACGCGTGGTTGCACAATACATTCGCAGTGCTGGGTTGCCTGGGATGTCTTGTAGCATCTGCTGCAAGTTGTCGTTGGGGAAAGTTGGAGTTTACCCCTCAGCCAAAAAAGGGGTGGGATGCTTCAAGGACAAGGTGCACTTAAGCTTTTATTTTTTCTGGCATCTGGTAGCTTTTTTTTCGCACCTGTGATATCTCCAGATACAGACTACCCTGTAAAAAAATGCCTGTCTGCAAGATGTTATGGTTAAATTTACTTGCATCCACAACTATGAGATTGAGCTGCCGACCAAAACCTCATACTTTCCTAGTGGCGTCACAAGGGGCGGACCACCGCGGGTGCAGCGCTCAGTGGGGTGCAGCTGTGCAGTGAAAGGGGGCTGTCGCGGCAGGCCATGGAGAGAAAGGGGGGGGGGGGGGGGGGGCGGTGTCGCGGCGGGCCACGGGAGCCAGAGGGGGGGTTGTCGCGGCGGGCCATTGCCCCGGGTGCCGCTGACCTTAGTGACACCACTGTAGTTTCCTGCACACTCTTTGAAGAAATTCTGGTACTAGTATCAATAATTTTGATGCTGCTCTTCTTGCTTATTTGTACCAAGCCAGGCACGTAGCCAAGGCTTTGATTCGGGAGGGGCCTGCCCATGACAAAATGCTGTGTGAGGGGAAGGGAGGAGAGGAGGCCCCAGCAAAATGGAAGATTTCGGGAAGGGGGGAGGTGAGGGCCCGGGCATTATGGGCTCCCCCCTTGGCTATGTGCTTGTACCAAGCTGTTTCTGGACATGTGAAATACAGGTCACTAGTTTTGTCATTAAAATATGGATTCCATAACTAGTCGTCTGTCGTGCTTTAAGCGTAGCAACTGCCATGAATTCTCAGGGTCAAAGGCCGAAAAGAGCTTTCTGTTCCTATAGTTTTATTGAGTTAAATTTCATCTCCGTTGACAGCATGACGCTTGTACAGACGCATAATTGCATTTTGCACAGAACTCTACGAATGGCCTGCATGCTACAATTGTGCAGGATTTTCGCAGGAAAACAACCCTGGATTCTCTTCTTTTTCAGAGCGACCGCTGCACCACAGCGAACCGGTTCTGTCAGTGGTCGTGCGCTGGGCGGCTTGGGACAGCGCATTTGCAAAGTCTAACTTTCTCTGCGTCAAGAACAACTTCCTCTACGACGAAGTGGCGCCCCTTGTCACGGTAAAGCATCAATCTACCCGACTGAATTGCGGCACCTACCGACACCTCCGGCGTTCAAACACTTAAAATCATTAAGAATCTTTAATGACTGGGGAGAACCATGGCAACTTAGAGAGGCAACAGCCCGTACCATGGAGGCCCGCAGTGCCGCGCCTAGTGATGCTGATTATACACCAACTCAACTCTCATACGTCACGCCGCGGTGGTGGCGCGCCGGACGCACTTCCGGTTTGCGGCGGTGGGCAGAAGTCGCCGTGCCAGACATGCATTCCTGTGTTCCTTCGGAAGAAACGAGACAAAAAACCTGCCTTCTCGTCAAAATGCTGCGACGGGGGCTGTACCAAGAGAGCCTGGAAAGGTTTGAAGATCAGCTTTCATGTGTTTTTGCCCCTTCCGTTCGTCCGAGAACGTGAATAGTAGCCGTGAAGAGGGCAGACCAGACGCTGTCAAACTACGATTGCGTGTGCGGGCAACACTTTGTCGTCGCCAGATGTATTTGCTTTGCTCCACATGAACGAGAGAAAACCGCCAAGTTGTCCGGACCACCCACGGGTTCAGTGCTTCTTCAAATTCACACGGCCGCCTGATCGGTCGAGCTTTCGTCTGCTTTTTCAAACTTGTCTGCTTTTTGTCGTCTGCTCGTTCAAACAAAAGCGGCCCGTAGACCAAACGTTGACCCGGTTATTGCAGTAAGAAGTAATTGCAGGCCTCGAAAGACTTAAGTAGGCTCGATGTAAACAGTAAATACAAGATGTTGATCATTGGTACCGGTGGCCATCACCGACTTGTTACGCTTGGTCTGTTCTCGCTTCCGATTTTCAGTATCGACGTCGATCATCGCCGCTACCTTCTACACTTTTGGAGCGCGAGCGACGTCGCGTCCGAAGATAACTAGAAGAATCTCATCATGGTTTTGGCGTCCATTCTGCGGCGTTCACGCGAATGAATCGCCGCACGTCAAATTATTTACGGAAAAGTTTAGCGGCGTAACGAGAATTGATAATTTCGCTCAGGCGATTAAAGTGGTAAGAAAGACATTGCGATGACGACGTAGAATCGACAATTCCAACCCGAAAAAGAGTATGCAGACTCACACAAACGCCGACAACGTGACATTCGAATGGTTTGTTGACGCGGGACGCGGTGCTTCTTGCCCGTACTCCATTGCGCATGCGTTCGAACTGTCGTCTGCTCTTTCAAACTTGGCTGCTTTTTGTCGTCAGCTCGTTCAAACGACAGCGGCCCGTAAACCAAACGTTGTGAAACCAAACGTTGTGAAAGAACTAAGTGCAGGCCTCAAAACACTTTTGAAGGTTGGTTAGGGTAAGTAGGCTGTGTAAACAGATACAAGAAGATGTTGATTATTGTTACCAGTGGCCATCACCGACTTGTAATGCCCGGTTCTACTTGCGGTTTTCAGTATCGACGTCCACCATCTCAGCTATAGGGTCCACGCTTTTGCAGTCCGAGCGACGTCGCGACTAAAAATAGCGAGCAGAATATCATCGTGGGAGTCAGGCTTTAGCGCCCATTCTGCGGCGTCCACGTGAAATGAATCGCCGCACGTCACATTATTCACGCAAAGTTTTGCCCCGCTAGTTCTGCTGAAGCCGCACAAGTAGTCAGACATTGTTAGGAGGACGTGGAATCAACAATTCCAACGCGAAAAAGAGCACGGGGACTCCCACCGACGCCGACAACAACGCAATTCAATGGTTTGTTTATGGGCGACGGCGGGCTTCTTGCCCACCATCCACCGCGCATGCGCGGCGCCGGTGGCGTCCGCTAGGGGCGCTCCGGTTTGTTTGTAAACATGAGTTGGTGTATACGACGATAAAATGTACAAGACGAGGACATGTTGCCAATTAGCTCAAGCTTCATCTGAAATCGTAGAACACGCTTTTCCATCCTCCAGAGGTGTCAAAACAGTCCGTGACGGGGCAAAACGATATCGACGATTGCCAGTTGCGCCCCCTCTAAGAAAGGAGTGTTAATACTTTAAGCCAGTGGTTCTCAAACGGGGACCTGGAAACCTTAGGTGGTACCTGATGGCCTTCTGAAAGCCAAGCATTACAATTACTTCTATTTTGTTGATACTGGCCATCCCACAAAAGCTGAATAAAGCATATCCTATGTGCCAAACAAGTAGAGTTGGTTCCTCTTGGTTTCGAAGCTTTTTATGTCATTGTAACCTTCCGATACACCCCCTCCCTCCCTGGGAGTCACTTCGGCCGATTCAGAAGGGGTTCCGAAATAGGGTTGAGGACTAGTGCTCTTAACGTATTTTAGCCAGTAGCTCCGGGCTGACCCTTCGAAAGACTAACCTTGTTGGTCGTGTTTCAGAATCACCAGCCACTTTCGGTGTTCAGCGAACTCCGGTTCGCCGAGGCACGCCAGAAGAGCTTCAAGAAGTCTGTGTTCGAGTTTACGGGGGGCAAGATTACTCACTACAAAGATACAAAGGTAGGCTCGACCAAAGGGAAGTTCCACTCTTTTAGGCCAAAAGGAAAGGCACCACAAAAATCGCGTAGCTTAAACGTCCCGTCAAGTGCACTCGAGGGAATTTTCAACGAACAGCACTCTATTTAGCGGAGACTTTTCCCGAAAAATCTAGTGGGGAAATTAATGTCACGCCACATTACACTGATGTTATGGGATAGTATGACGTGACGCTAATCTCAAGTGACATCATGTTACCCAGACGTGACATGTGACACAGACTTGACATCAAGTGACATGAACGTCGTGCGACGTCACGCCGCCCAGATTTGCGTATATATCGCTAATGCATTCTATATCTCGGATGACTAAAAAGGAAATCAAGAGTGCCTCAATTTTCTTTGGTTATGTTTTTAAAAGGAGTTGTATTTTAGGATTGAATGCTGTTGCTCAAGCTCTACTGACACATTGAAGGCTGATTGGACCCACTCTCTGCAGGCTAGTCAGTTGGTGAACCAGTGGAACATTGAGGACGTGGTCTGGTACATCGGGTGCGAGTCCCGTCGCAGTCCCCCTTCCAAGTGAGTGCCTCCTCCTCCATCCGCGACGACGGAGCGCATGACCCATGCTTTCTGCTCCGCAGGTGGAACTTCACCTTTGTGCTCCGCCAGGGGGAGATCAAACGGCAAGTACCGTTTCCTTTTTTTTATGTTGCCTTGTCAAACCTTTGCGTAAAAGGGAAACCACCTTCTTATCAATGGACTGGTTCCGGCGACTGTTCAGGCTCTAAATTTGTGGAACTTGAGGACAGTTGGATAAACAGACGATTGGGAGTTGCTCGTTTGTTACCGATTGCAACCAATGAGCTTCGTTACTGCACTCTCAGAGCCGAGTGTTTCGGAGCAGTATTCAGAAAGAGTTTTGTTGCATCTTAAAACGTAAGCCGCAAAAACGACACGCAAAAATATTACGGCCGAGAGAACAACATATAGTGTCGGCATTGTAGTGGTGCTCCCAGCGGGTAGCACTTCACTGCCATTGTCTTACATAAGCGATCGTGTGACCACTAAGACAAAATCGTTGTGCATATTTTTTTTTTTTAGATACTATGTACACTGATTTTGTTGTTATTGCAATATTTTTTTTTATATGTACAATGATCTTGGGTTGGCATATCTTGGTGCACCGTTTACATACCAATACTCGTACTGCGACTTGCGGCGAGAATGCCTCTCGTAAGAAGCAGCGGTACGAGTCTCGTTACATAAAAGACCACCGAGATTTGCCTGTTCCCCCTTTTTGGTTCGGCAACAAACTCTATGGCGCCACCTATTGGATAGCCCCAGCACACTTCCGGTTCTCGTATATTTCCTCATTTTTTACTCGTCAATCTTTTATAATAAGAATGAATTAAGTCTGACAGTGCTATAATTGACCATTTCCAGAAGATAGCGTGTGTATTTGATTTCGCCAATACTGCGAAACCCGGAAGTGTTTGGGGGCTATTTGCACACCGGCGCCACCACGTTTCAACTTGCACGAGAAAGAGTGAATTACAATGACAATTTTGTCGGGTACAACCAACGTTACTAAAACACTCAGTTGGGAAACTCGCCGTCGAAACGTGGGCCGCTGGCGTCCACTGAGACCGAGCTAAACGCGACAACAGCGCCACTCTTTATCATTTGTCTGTACTGTGGTCACCTTGAGCTTTTTGAAAGCCTGTTTTTGCGTAAAAACAAACGAAAAAGACTCTTTTTGTATGAAATTTATTGGAGTTTAGTACCAAAAGAGGGGCGCGTTATGTTTTTAAAATCTTTAGTTTGCAGGGTTTTGCGGCACAATTAATATCGTTTTTATACAACCATGCCTCAGCGGGCCTTTCAGGTAGCACGTCCCGCACTAGGTGCATTTTAACTTCGGTAGCTCAACACGGCGCGTCCGCCGGGGAGACGGGGGTGGCACCCCTGTAAACTCTACCGCTATATCTGTTCTTAACGCCAAAATAGAAGTCACGTGCAGTTCCTCGAGTGACCGCTGCGGGAGAAATGGTGTCGTTGTGTTCGTCATTAGCTCGGTGCTCGGAGACAGTTTGGGGCCACTTTTTCAAAGCTGTCTCTATGGGAGTTTCCCAACTGAGTGTTTTAGTAACGTTGGGTACAACCAACGTTACTAAAACACTCAGTTGGGAAACTCGCCGTCGAAACCTGGGTCGCTGGCGTCCACCGAGACTGAGCTAAATGCGACAACAGCGCCACTCTTTATCGTTTGTCTGTACTGTGGTCACCTTGAGCTTTTTGAAAGCCTGTGTTTGCGTAAAAACAAACGGAAAAGACTCTTTTTGTATGAAATTTATTAGAGTTTAGTACCAAATAATGGGCGCGTGATGTTTTTATCATCTTTAGTTCGCAAGGCTTTGCGGAACAATTAGTATTGTTTTCATACAACTATGCCTCAGCGGGCCTTTCAGGTAGCACGTCCTGACCTAGGTGCATTTTAACGTCTGTAGTTGAACGCGGCGCGTCCGCCAGGGAGACGGGGGTGGCACCCCTGTAACCTCTACCGTTGTATCTGTTCTTATAGCCATAATAGAAGTCACATGCAGTTCTTCCAGAGGCCGCTGCGGGAGAAATGATGGCGTTGTGTTCGTCATTAGCTCGGTGCTCGGAGACAGATTGGGGCCACTTTTTCAAAGCTGTCCCTGTGGGAGTTTTCCAACTGAGTGTTGTAGTAACGTTGGGTACAACCGAAATATTGCCGCACATTATTTTTCCTCCGTCTCGGGTTTTAGTATGGTGCCTGGAAGACGTCTCCAGCTGGTGCGTTTATCGTGTCCAAAAAAGTGGTCCCTCGATTTCCGCCCGGCGATGTCGTAGGGGAGTCACGTTGTCGCCGCTGCAATACTGGCAGCATCGAGGCAGTAGCGGCGGATGTGCCAGACGCCCGTTCCGCCGCAGGTCGTTCTCCAGTCCGACAGTCCACGGACCTTTCGGCAGTCGGAATGCCGCGACGACGACGGCACTCGCGTTCGCTCCTACTCTTTCCCGAAACTTTTACCGCCAATCGTCGCCACATTCGACGGCACGACACTCCGGCTCTTGGGACGTCGTTCGTTGCCACTTGCAGACCACTCTCGAATAGGACGCTGGCTCAGCGATCGGAGACGCATTCTGGGCACCATACAGCCGCGGGTGCCTCGCTCGGAGCGACGTTGCAACGCGACGGCGTTCCTTTTGCACCGACAGGACGAAGGAGCGTCCCTTCTTTGGCCACTGCGTCAGCCTGAGCGTCCAGGAGGAGTTTGAGAAGTGGCTGGCCGCCATGCTGAACGCCGAGTTCCCGCACGGCATCTTCCCTCCCCAGCCGGAACCCCTGCCCGACCTCCTCGGCTGAACGAGTCCTCGGCCCCCGATTTCCTACCCATCTCCCGCGTCCTCGCGAGACAATCCCAGAGACTGCCACGAAGGGGCCATTACTCGTTCATGGTTTATCTAAGTTCAAGCACAGCAAACGCAAAGTTCCGACGGACCCGAGCAAGCAGCACCAAAAGTGTGTCGTTGCGCCACACGCAGTGAATGCCTCATGACCCTGCGCCTTTTTTCTGCGCACGACTGGTTTGGTCGACGACAGCAAACGAACAATGATAATGAGCGTTGTGACGGTGCACTTTTCGCGCCGTTTGTCTGGCTCGTCGTGGCTGGAGTTGGTGGCGACGTGGGTTTGCTCCTATTTATTTTTGCTTGCGGCCGTCGAATCTCTTAATTTTTATCATACGCGAAGCGAATACTTGTTTGTCGGTTCGCTCTTCTTTTAGCAAGCACAACTTTTAAAGTTTGTATTTGTAGAGTTTATAGAAACAGGTTAAGAACGAGAGCCCATAGGGACTGAAGAGCCCCGAGGAACAAGTGCAGACACCCTTGTTGTCCTTTTTATTTTGTTTGCTATTGTTTTTAAAGTGTATTTTTGTTACAGTAGTAGGTTGTTGTTTTCTTTTTTTTTTTTTTTCTTCATTGTGCACATTTGTGCGAAAGCTTTTTGAACAAAATCCTCGAGGTGTGCGTTGGTGGTGGCTGAGCCATAACGTCTGTGCATTGTGCTTGAAATTTGTTCTGTCCCGAACCTCATTGTTACTTCTCGGTATTATCGTCGTTACGTGTAGGTATTTTACGCCCGCTTCGCTGGACCATGATCATGCGGAATCTCACGAGACGAAAAAGGAAAGCACAAAGCCATTGCCATAGATGCGTGTTTTGTTGGCTATATTTTACAAGTGTGTCTACTTTTAGTTCTGTTAGCGGCCCGAGCCGTAGGAGCGTGCATGGCGTTCCATACTCTCCCCTCTGTGGCCCCACTGACTGCGCAAGAGAAACAAATAACCGGTTGGGCCTAGAAGACGAGGCCTTCCCCCCTACGTCATAACTAGTGGAACCACGCAGCGTCACCTTTCTTGCGTCCGCGTCTGCTCCCATTGAGCGCGATGCTAGAAGGCGGCGACGCCAAGACGTACGCATCTGCAGCTGTGACGCGTACTTCGGTCAACCTGCCTGCGCGCTTGGGGCGGGTCAAGGGATCCACTAACGATGACGTCATGCGCAGGCCTTGTCCTCTGGGTGGTGTTGCCCAAACTCGAACTGCCTGTGCCATAACAGTGTCGCGGGTGAACTCGCCGCTGGTGCAGCGGGTCTTCCTACTCGTTTACTCGTTTTCTTCCCGCCCGCGGTGCCACACGCGACGCGAGCGGGAGGACTCTCCAATAAAAGACTTTAGTTTCGCAGTCGTCGCTTCTCGAGCGTGACTTCATCTTGTCGATTTTTCTGTTATGGCCGAGTCCCGCTAGAGCGACAAACAACCGACAAGCCTCAAGCACGTGCGGCATACGCGAAAAGGTAACTTCGGCAGGCTTTCAGTCACTCGTGCCATAGCCTCCTCTATACTGATAAAGCCTGGCAGATCGCCACGAGACGCGGCCGCCGAAAGTGACAAAATAGAGCGGCAGACAACGGATGAGAGGAGAGCCACGTGACGGGCGCCCCGCTGCGGCGAGACACCGTAACACACTTCTCCCGAGCGATGGAATGTCCGCTCGTGTTCCTCGCGTCACCGCTTCTGTTCTCGTTGGGTTTTGAAAACCATGTTCCGCGTCCTCACCGTTGGAAAAGCTGTGCTCTGAATACCAGATTCCCCGAGAAATGATCTCTGCTATCAGGTCCTCGCGCTCCATATCTGCGACCGGGCACTGTATGGCTCCGTCGTTGAACTGCCAGGCTTTTGGGAGTATAGAGGAGGCTATGCTCGTGCTTACTACACAAGCACCGAGAGACTGCAAGCCTGCCAAGGGTAGCTTCGCCTGCATTCACACGTGCTTGAGGCTTGTCAGTGTCGGCTCCTTCTGTTTGTCGCCCTAGTGTGAGTTGGACGTTAGTGTCCGTGCGTGCGGTTGCCCAAACCGCTTCACGCGCCCGACAAAAAGGTTGCTGCCGGGTGAAGTTTTCCAGCGCAGCTGGTCGGTTTTGAACGCTCTATAAATCGTTGAAAAGTTTCCATTCGTCTGTGGAATCAAATTCGTCCGCCCCTAAGCTGACGGCGCGGTGGGGGCTAGGCGGTTGCCGGACTAGTCGGCCGCCTCCCTTTCATCACCTGATCCTAAAGTGACTGTATATGCTCCGGTTGCAGGCCATGTTAAGAAGTGACCAGGCGTCGCGATTTAGACGGAATAGGTCCCGCTTTTTCGGTCGTGCTTCTGATGTCCCGCCAGCGTGCTTGTGGGACGGAGTTTTGTTTCGCTTTGGCTCTCCCGAACCGCGGTTAAACGGAAGGATCGCACTGGTGAGAGGGTGCTTTCTCTGGTGAGTGAATAAGATGTGCTTGTCGGAGAAGATGCTGACGTTGAAGGTTAATTTGCGTATGACATGTGAACAGTACTATGCACATAATATAGCTTCAAAATAAATACATTAATACTAAAGAAATATTCGAACCAAATGCATTAGATGGGTGTGCCAAACAGTGGTGAAAATTGTGAGGAAAAGAAATCCCGGTTAAAAATGTTTTTTTTTTTTTTTTTCCAATTGTTCTTGACAATTGAAACCAATGGGGCAAAGCAATTGTGATTTCGAACTCCCTATTGAAAACTCCCAATTGGTACCAACTTTTGAAATTCAATTGAGCATTACCAACTGTAACCAATAAATCACTCGCTAAATCCCTCAAGCGCCTCGTCTCGCACTCGAGGAATTACGGGAACGGTGTTCCTTCAGTTCTATAGTGATCGGTAATAATTCGATGCTTGCACACTTTTCAGTGTAATCCGGATTCATCCTGAATACGCGCTTTTGATACTGTGCATCATACATTGTAGTAATTCAATTACTGTAATTTAATTACTTTCTTTGGTAATTTGTAATTGTAATTAATTACTTTTGGCTAAAAGTAATTGTAATTCAATTACTTTCTAGGGTCCGTAATTGCAAAATTTCCAGTAGAATTACAATTACTTTCGCAAGACTTTGCGGCGCCGACGGAACCTCTCTGAAAGCCTCGGCGCTCGTGCAAGCGGCCTAGCTCTCGGTAAACACTTGCATATACAGACAAAAACTCACACACACGCACAACATAAATAGCGTCGCATTGTTGTTTTGTTGCTTACACTGCGGGGTGAGAGATAATCCTCTTTGGAGCCTACCTCAACGGCGCCGTGCAGCGCCGTCTGCAGTGCGAGCAGAAGATATTAGCGTAAACTTTGCCAAAATATTAAACTAAAAAAAAAAAAAAAAAAGCTTCAGCTTTCAGCCGAGGTTGGGAAATTTAATTGTCTCTAAAGTTATTTTTCTTTCTTTTTGACAGTCTTTTAACGTCCCTCTTTCAGTACTGTCACATATGTGTATCTTTGTATTATGTTTAAATTTATTTCATGTAGGTTTTACTTCGGATATTATTTGCATGAGCACTTTGGAGACTGAACTCGTACCTGTGAATAAGGTCATCAATGATTCGGGGGCCCCGATTCGGTACTTGTATATTTCTGAGCTATTATGAGTTCAATTCAATGTAAATAATTTACGATACCACGATGTTTTTATGTGAATGTGGTCGTATTAGCGCGTGTGGATTTTACTTATATATTAACGCTTGTAAAATATTCCTATATGGCTAATTGTCACATTTTTATTTGCCTGGCTAACTAAAGTCTGTCAACCCAATTTCTATAGCGATCTGGCATCTTGAGCATATCAACTAATTTATTATTATTTATTAAAAATATAACAACGTAGCACTTCATTTCCCCACACTGTCAAGTTCCATCATGAATTTAATAAAATTCATAAAAAGAAAGTACAATACGTGAACATTGGAGTAAGGTACGAACAAATATGTTGCATTCTATACAACTCGTTTAAAGTTATATGCCCCGAGTTGGGTCGCCCTCAGAAATAAGTAATTGTAAAGTAATTTAATTACCTTTTAAAGGTAATTTGTAATTGTAATTAATTACTTTCCACATAGCAGTAATTGTATTGTAGTTAAACTACTTTTGAAGCAAAGTAATTGTAATTAAATTACATTTTGGAAGTAATTTACCCATGTATGCTGTGCATGCAGTCGAACCTTCAACCTGGCTGAGCTGCAGAAATCTATCATATTCTCGTGATTGTTGTTTTTAGCAGGAACTACTATCCGCGCGGGCGGAAAGTGTATTTTTGAGCCGGGTGGCGAAACTGCCTCGTCGTTTGGCGGAAAATCTGGATATGGGTCCCGGTCTGATCCAGATTTAACGCCAGCAACGAGCCCCTCCCGCCACCCTGCTCCAAAATCCACTTTCCGCCTGCGCGGATTCGCCCGCGGATCCGCAAGTGTAGACGCGGCATACGGCGGTAATTTATCCCCTCCCCCCTTCGCCTCCCGGAGCCATCCCTGAAATTTGTAACGCGTTCCCAGATTGGTAATCCTGGAATCCAGCTGGACCGCCTTATTTCCAGTTCCATAATCCAGCTGGAAGTGAACTGATTTTCGCCTGAATTAATTCTCACCCAATAAGCACGCTTTTTTTTTTTTTTGCATTTGTTTGTTACAATGATTGTCCCAAGGTAGTAGGTGGCATTTCTGCACGTGTTTTAGTCGTCGTCAGTCAGGGCGGTCGGAGCAGAGTCGAAGGCTAAATGACTCACAAGCGCATACACGCAGACGAAAAGCTCAACGTTACGACGCACTTTCGCGAAGAACTGGCTGACGTCGGCTCATGGAGAAATTTGATCTTTCTTAATTATCATGTCCTCCAACCTTCGCGTTCTATCCCCACCACTAGCAGCACATTCTCACGAAGTTTGAGTTCTTTCGGCGAGGCATAGTTCATCTACCCAGGCCGAAAAACACGCTTTGGGTCAGCCGGGTGAAGCGTTACAGAGGTTTGGCGGCAGCCTGCTGGACGACACGTTTTCTGCTTGTGCGTCGTGAATAAGTTTTCTTTAAAAACATTGTGTAAACGGTCGTAGTTGCCTTTTAAAACGCATCATTCTTTGCGCAGCGTTGCAGAAAGAAGGCACAACTCGTCGAACGCAAGTCTCGCGGCGTGATCAAAGGACATGCCATGGCACGCCGAATCGCTGCGTCTCTGCCTTCGCACACTGGGTACCGATATGGAATCGACGCCATGTGGATGTGTTAACCCTTCGCGAAAGTTTTGAAGGTGTGTCGCGCGCACACATCTTTGCCGCGTGCTGAAAGTTATGTTTGAGCTAGTTGGTTGATGAGCATCTTGGTTTTGAAACAGCGCGACAAGACAAGGACAAAGTAAAGACGAGACAGACGACAGCGCTGACTATCAACTGCGCAGCACTTCGGCGTGCCTGTCCTTTGTTCACGCCGCGAAAGTTGTGTTCAACGAGGTGTGACTTTCCTGCGGTTCTGCGCTTTCATAAAAATTTCCACGTGTTCTCAAAGGCAACTACAACCATATACACGAGGTTTTAAATAACTACTTCGGCGAATGACTGGGAACGAGGAGAAAACGTGTCTTCAGCATGCCGCCGCCCAGACTCTGCAACCTTCACCCGGCTGACTTTTTGGTGGCCTAATGGCCGTCCGGTAGCCTTATTCGCGTAGTGGGGAAGCGCGATAAACAGTGACTGAAATTGGCTTTTTTAAGGCGAAAGCCTTACTTGTCTTATTACGCGAAAAGCCGTCGGCGTTGTCCCCGAAAGATGGTCATAAAA